ATAGTATATTTCTAAAAATAAAATTACCTTGTTAGATGAAATGAAAATAAATTTTGTGCATTAAAGTATTGTAAGTTAAGAATAAATTTTTTGATATTTACCAACGGAATAAATCATTTTATGTTCCTCAGACAACACAATATTTATCTTTAATTTATTTAAATATTATTAAATTAATTACATAACTAAATAATATTACTAAATAAAAATTTATGTAACTGACAAAATAGACAACTAGACAATTACATGTTAGATATATACACGACATATTGTGACTAACTATATCAATGATATGTTATTAGTAAATAAAAGTATATGTAACTAACAATAAAAAATTAACTACCAATAAAAAATTAAAGTACGTAGAATATTTACCAGAGGAGGATGCAGTACCCGCAAAACGGCCCCCAGCCTATCGTGGAGGAGCAGGTCGTACCGGTCGTACCGGTCGTACAGGGGAAGGAGAAAGTGACGCGGTCTGCTCATCTCCAGAGTCAGGCTCCTCGCCCTCATCATCGTCCTGGTCATCGTCCTGCTGATAATAGTGGACCAGACTCTCGACGATCGGAGCCGACGACTGACGAATACGTATCCTCGTCGGCATACTGCCAGCCATCGATGAGCTGGGCTGCCCACCGCTCTGCTGACCACTCGGTCCCGAAGGAACGATCGGTGGCAATCTCCTAGCCATCTCAGCCTGAGCTAACTTAGCCTCACGGATCCTCGCCTCCCTCTCCAGACGAACGTCGGCATCTACAAACCGACTCTTCGTGTGTCGCTGTCCAGAACCGTCGAGCTGACCAAACTCCACAACTCGCTCAGATCCATCACTCTAAATCAACAAATTAAACTAATAATCAATAATAAACAATTTTAATAATATTATACAATTTATAATAATTACTCTATTTACATATTTATAATTTTGTTTATAATTTTCTATAATTTTCTATTATTTTATATAATTTTATTTATATATTTTAAATAATTTTATTTATAATTTTCTATTATTTATAATATATTCAATTATTTATTTATATTATATTCAATTAATTTTCTTATTTTCATTAACTTTTAAAATTTTTAAACTTTTTAATATTAAATAAAAAATAATAAAATTTATTAATTTTTTTAATATTATTTTCGAAAATAGCAATTTTAATAATTTTATACAATTTATAATAATTACTATATTTATATATTAAATATATTTTATTTATATATTTTAAATAATTTTATTAATTATTTTCGAAAAACAATTTTGAATATTTAATATTTTTTTATATTATTTTCAATTAATTTAAAATTTATAAAAAAAATAAAAAAAAAAATTAAAAAGGGCCGTCGGCCGCCATGTCAGGCGGCAGCACCGTCGGCCGGCCGCCAAAGCAGGCGATAAACGGCTGCGTCCGGCCCACAACAGCCGGCCAAGGGTGGCCGACACCACCATGCGCCGAGCTTGGCCGACGCCGGCCCATCGATTTTGTGGCCGGCAATGGTGGCCAGCCACCATCCGAAGCAAAAAAAAAAATTTCAAATTTTTTTCGCTCGAAATTTAAAAAAAAAAACGTACCGATCGAACGAAGAACCCCTTGCCGCCGCGTTTAGATGGTCCCGACATTTTTTCAGAATTTTTTCGGACGTCGAAAGCTTAAAAAACGAGAGAGAGAAAGAGAGTACAAGAGAGAAAGAGAAATGGGTGGGGGTAAAAACAACTTTTGGGGCGGTAAATATCGAAAAGGAGACGGTGTTTAGCGGTTCACAAAAAATATTCTTAGTAGATGTGCAACATCCTAAAACGACATTTAATTAAAATAGGATATAATATTGTACACCTTCTCAAAACGACATATATTAAAAATAGGAGGTAGTATTATTTTTTTTAAAAATAAAAAACCGGCAATTCATTAAATGTCAGTTCATTTGAACCGGCCCTTTTGCTTATGCAATAATATCTGGCCTCATTAATTACTCAAGCTGGCCTCCAGCTCAACTGCCTTCAACTCAACAATTGGATCATCTGGTTATTTATTGAAACAATTAATTAACAATAAAAAAATTAAATTATATATCTACTAATTTTATCTTGTAAATATATATATATATATATATATATAAAATAACAAGAATAAATAATTTACATAACCGGTTTGCTTGTTGGCTAGTTCACAGGAACCTCAAGCTTCACTTTCACATCAAAAAACTAAAGAGAGATGAAAAAATTAAGAAAGAGAAGCTCTCAAAAAAATTGAAATTGATGGAGACGAGATATACATTCACCCGTCACCGCATGTCTATCCTTATCTTACGTGATTGACTTGTGAATTGAATGTCTAATTTCTTTCTTTTTATTATCCAAGAGTGTGTAAATAACTAAATATAGGGAAAGATTACGGTCTCGTGGGAATAATTCCGTTACGGGATGTGGCATTTTCGATAAATATATGTAGACAATATATAAGATAAGGATAGACATTAATAAAAGGGTAATTGTTATTTTAGTACCTGTACTATGGGCTAATTGTGATTTTGGTACATATCCTTTATTTATTGCGAAAATACAACTCAACCTTTACGTTTTTTGCGAATTTGGTACCTATTCTTTGTTAATGGCTAAAATACAACCCAACCTTTACGTTTTTTGCGAATTTAGTACCTAATAATTTTTCTGTACCTAATAATACAAATAAAGTATCTTTAAGAGAAAATATATATAGTTCTAAGTGAATGTATATCGTAGTTCTAAGTGAATATATATCGTAGTTCTTAAACTTAAAAATTATAGGGCCTAAAATAAAATTAAAAATTATATATACAGAGATTAATTTAAGAGAAAATAGTTCTAAGTGAATGTATATCGTAGTTATAAAATTTGATAATCTTCAAATTTATTCGATAAAAATTAAAAAAAAAAATCAAAAGAACCTATCAACTTACTCTTTCTCAAAAGATCTCTTTGAAACTTAGCATGCTAACGTCAAATTCGGGGCCTCTTCACCTTCAACATCTCTCCGAACCCATCCTAGGGTCTAGTCAGCGCTGGAGCGCCCCCAATCTAGTCGCCAGATCTCATCTATGATCTCTGGTGAATATTTAGGATTGTGTTAATACTATTAAATAGCCATAAAGATTTACAAAACACAAATTTTGGCCATGTTTTAAAAAATATTATTTTTAGCCATTTTGACATGTGGTATTACTAAAATACCCAATTTCAATATTCACCTCACTTTGCAAAATTCATTTCCTCCCAATTCTCACTTTTAGAAGCTCGTCGTCCAATTCATCTTCAAGAAAAAAAAA